AGGGAGGAGGAGGGGGAAGGGGAGAGGGAGAGATTGTGTGTGTGTGTTTTCCATCATCTACACTGCAGGATAACACAGTAGGATGGGAGTGGAATGAGCTGAATGCCAAGCACCACATCCGCCATAGCCCTCATCAAAGATTTAGTGTATTTGGCATGAACTTCAAATCTAGGATCACAGGAAGTTCGGAGTTTTACCTGGGATTTTGTCACTATTTTCTGCTACAAGAAAATTAGAAAATTTTATAAAGTAAAAAGCATGTTCTCTATCCTCAATCTAGTTACAGATGACAGCTACCATGTAACCAAAAGAAAAAAAAAAAGAACAATTACTCCCTTGGATATACAAATAAAAACTGCAAGACTATAAGATCCAGAGGTTTTCTTAACAAAAAAGATTTCAAAAGCACTTGAACTTAGGTAAACGAATAGGCACCAGGTATAAACATACCCCAGTAAAGAACTAAAAACCTTGATCTCAGTAAGAGCAGCCTATATTGATTTACTTTGTCAAATGTTTATCAGTGTGTCTGTTAAGTTGGAAATCTTTCACTTCTAAGCTGGGGACACCTCCAATTCAAACCATGTAATATATGCTGATGACCATAAAAATAAAAATATTTGCTTTAAGCCTAATGAGCAGGCTTTGAAACACAGCCTAAAGCTATGCTCTATCTCTCCAGAACCAGAATACAAAGAAAGAAAAGCAAACGTGCCTGGTCAGGGTCAGCAGAAGGTGACCCAGCAGGGTGAGTCTCACTAGCATGTTGTCCTAGATGCCAAGAGGCCAAATTACAAAATACCTGAGGCTGAGCCATTGGCCAAGTTGCAATTTTTAAAAAGAGAGATTTAAAAAAATTTCACCACTAGGAAGAACTTAAGACATTAGCCTGATTCTCATCTTGGGGCTCACGGATAAGGACACTGTTACCCAGTGGTTCTCTGCTCTAGCCACGAGCTATAATCACCTGGGAAGCACTCCAATGTGATCAAACCAATTCAGTGAGAATCCCCATGGGATGAGGTTTTGCAATCTTTCTTTTCAAGCACCTTCCAGGTAATTCTAATGTGTAGCCAGGACAGAGAACCACTATTAGTGCCAAGTTTACAGTGCTACTACTAACTACACAGCTAGTCGATGGCAGGAATAATATGAGGACTTGGCCCCTGACCTCATATGCTACACCCCATCTTTCCATCTGACATGCAATCCTTTATTTCTGTATGAATATCAAGGACTGTGAAATACTTTTAGGCAACTGAAGAGTATAAAACACATGAACTAGTAATAGTTCATCAATTATACTTTTTGATAATCACTTCAGGTATAACTAAATAAATAAACTTATGGCATTTATTAATTTCCCTCCACCCCAAGTAAGCACCTTTGTTCTCCAACACTACAGAAATCTCAGTGTGATCTCATATATTACAGCACCTTTCACTGTCCACCTACTAAAGCTGTTTACAAAAAAATCAAATAATATAAAAATACTTCTGCCAATTCCAAAATGAAAACACAGAGCTTTCTTGATTTGAAAAATGGTTCCATGATAAAACAAAAATACCCCCACCCCATCACCACCACTACCAATCTGGAAAGCACTGAACTAAAGTAAAATAGGTTTATTCAAATGCAAGACTTCTCAGAGCCTTTGATATGCTCATATTTAACCCTAAAATCAAACTGTAGTATATACAGTACTTTTCAAACTTACTTGGCCAAAGAATTTCTTTTCTTTTTCAATTCTCATGACTAATGTACCAGAAAACCCACTTTAAAAAATACTACTCTGAATTCCATCTGCCATGAATCTATAGTGTTGGATTCATTAAAGCAGATTTGCACATCCACACACAATTACGTGGAGATACATAACTCTTCAGAAATCAAACAAGGTTCCAGGCAGACTGCCAAAGGCAAAACTTCTTGATGGAAAAGACTCTTCTCCCTTACACCCAGGCCCCTCCAGCACCTAGTGAAATTCTAGCACTTACCTTTTGTGCTGTACATCCTGTCCCATCTGTCAAAGTAACTTGCACTTCATCACCAGAATAATCAATACTCTGTACCTGTCCAAGAAAAATGGTGATGAAAATCATGATGAGGGATGGAATCATATCATCCAGAGTTTTTTCCAATTCTCTCATTATGTGACTTTATACCTCCCAGGCAGTTACAGCTTATTTCAGGGAACTATCACTCAGCCATTAAAATTTATAAACGCTGAGTCAGAATATGGAAAATCTTTATAGTATAGTGTAAAGTAAAATGTAAATAATTGCCTCTATGATTATAACAATGTACAATACAAATGTACAGGGACAGAGACTTGAAGGGAAAATTTTAAAGTGAAAATAACTGCTTTGGATCAGGGAGGCTGTGAGCAGTTTGAATACTTTATTATTAATGAAAATGCATCTGCACCACTATTGTTTCCAAACAGCAGAGCTGAGTAATGGACAGAGATAATTGTCATACGTCACAGGCTACAATTGTATCATAAAAATACTGGGAGGCACTGGCTAAAGGTCACAGAAAACACCTGTCCCTGTGTAATCCACACGCTCCCAACGTCATATCCTCCAAAATCAAGGCCAAACCAGAGCCTCCCATCACTGCCAGTACTCACTGGAGATTGGAGCCGAATATCTAGTCCTTCAGCTAGCTTTTCGATAATGACAGAGTAGCCAGGAGTGAGGAGGGTGTGGTCACCAGCAAACTGGGCAAAGAACTCGTTGTGGTCCCAGGAGCGAGCAGACACCTAGGAAACAACAGGAGAGGCTAGATACAGAAGAGGTGGTATGAATCCTTAAGCCTGTACCAAAGGGACAATAAAGGAGACCAAGGTGGGAATAGCCACTTGAGGCAGGAAGGTAGGGCTGCTGAGCATAAGGCAAAGCATGCCAGAAGGAAGGGACAAGAGACCAACCCAGATGGATACCACTGTCAGGGAAAGAAACTGCTCGATGACACACAGGAAAACTTATTTTATTTATTTATCCCCCCCCACACACACCCTGTCTACCTCCCCACTCCCCTCTGGTAACCACTAATCTATAGTCCATGTCCATGACTCTCTGTTTGTTTGTCTTGTTCATTTGTTGCTTTTAGGTTTATATCCCCACATATAAGTGATATCATGCGATTTTCTACTTTTTAGGAAAGCTTATTTTAAAACAAAAGGTGGTATGATTTGGGCATGCTACCACTCCTTGATAAAAATAAGAAATGTGTTACATATCAACAACCCTGGAAAAGAAGAATTCTATGAGAGCAAAACTGCATTTGATCATTTCCATATATAAATATGCCAACTACTTGTCTTCAACATGGAAACTATAGAAGTTGAAACGCAGAGTGATTTTGGAAAACAGTGCTATTCCTTACAATCGCAATGAAAAATCATATAAAAATGGAGAGGTCTCAAAGAGGACAATTAAGTCAGGGGTCATCCATGGAGCCTCTATTCAAAATATAGAATATTTGAGTATAAAATCCCAGTTGGTTAAATCAGTCAGGCAAGTTTAAATTTATTTTAGCAAGATAAACAGACCACAACTGCAAAGATACTCTTTTGGTCACACCTGAGAGCAGTGTTTTTAGACAACGTAGGGTTCCTCCAGGGTCACCCTGAAGGGCATGGGAAGAAGGAGGTAAAAACAGGACACTGGGCCCCTCCCTGATCCAGCCCAACAACCCTCCTGTATTCAGTTGACACACTGAGCTTCTTCACAGGCATTATAAAAAAAAAAAAAAAAAAAAAAAAAAAAAAAAAGGGTTCTCTTGATTAAAATTTTTTTTTCCAAAACCGCTATGGGGTTAACATGCTCTGAAATCATGGTTTTCTAACTTTTAAATAGAAGAACCATTGTTTCCTGCTTACTCAAACTAGCCCGGGTTCAATATTTGGACATATACAATACATGCACATGCACAAAAGCAAACATTTTCGAAGCATGTTTCACAAAACCCAGTCACACCTGATGGAGGTTGCTGCCACAGGCATATTCCAGGTTACTGAGGTGGAACTGAAGCACCTGTTCTTCTAGTTCACTAAATTGGATTCCAGATTCCTTAATAAAAGCTTTGTAGATCTCCTCTATTTTTTCTGTAATAGAAATGGATCAAAGCAGAAAAAAAGTTTTAACATTATTCTCTAATTCCTTATCTTTTTCTTTCAACCTCCTTCAACTCGCAAACACCCCAAGCTTCTAAAGTCCCTTCCCAAGCCAACTTAGGGGGAAAGGATATCTTGGTAAGGTTGGTTCCTCTCAGGAAGAAAAAGCTTATCTTAACTGAAGCAAAGCTCTGTAGGTTCGAGATCTTCAATCATGTTTCATTTCTGCTTAGTTGAGAAACTGTTCTTTTGCTCAAGATACAGGAAAAGTTCCCCCTTGCACACAAAACCACGCAGAAATAGGGTTCCCATTCCTTTCTCATGCTACTACCATCACCTTAAAGTCAAGTTCTTATAACATCTCATCTCAACTCGGAGACCTGTGATAGACTGACTATATTCTCTCCCAAACAAGAATGTTCCGTTATGGACTTTCATCATGTCAGCCCTCTGCCTCAGTACCTTTAATTACTGGTCTCCATTGCTCGTATAATAAATCCCAAACCCACAGCCAGACGATGCTAGCTCATTTTCAGCCTTTCCAGAGATGGCAACCCTACCTGCCCACTCACAGACTCTGCTGCACTGCTGTGGAATCTCTTCCTGGCAAATGCCAGCCCTGCAAGGCCTGTGACTACCACTCCCCTCACCAGAATGTCTGCTCCGCCCTACCCTGCTCCTAGCCATCCTTGACAGTACAACAGGACCCCCGACGCCACAAAATCAGGAATGGCCCTTTGTTATCAACCCCAGCACTTATCTATCCCATTCATCTGGAACATTCAACTACATATACACAGTGCTGTGATACCATTCCAATTACTGTCTTAGACTCCTTTTGGGGAGCGTCGGGGGAGACTCATGTTTGACAAATTACAAGAATCTTCATACAGGTTACTTCTTTATAACCTTCCCAGTGATGACAACCATCCAACACATATATTGCAGACTCAAAGCTTTATAAAGTACTGTGCATTTGCTTGACTAGAAACAGAACTGAGCATCAGTTATTTTTTTTTCTTGACAACTCAAGATTCTCATTAAAATTTTCCCTTCATCCACTAGATTATAATACGGGGATGCCACAGCACCTCTGGATTTGTGCCAGGCTTTTGGCCCTAAACCACCAGGATTTCTGCCATTTGCAGAACCTTCTTAAAGCAGTCCCATTTCTGCCTCTGGCGGTTTCTATTTTTCTTTGTTTTATAGAGGATTGGGAAGAACCAAGATTGCTAGAACAGTACATAAAATTAAATATAAACAAATCGAAAGAAGCTTTAAAGTGATTTTTATGTAAATAATATTTAAAAGCTTTGGTACATGTGCTCTTTTGAAATTAACTCTAGCTTCTTAGTGTGCGTATGTGTGTATTTGTGTGTGTGTATTTTTTACAGCTAAGTGCTAATAAGGTGAGATCTCAGACAGCTGAGATATTGACAGGCAGGATATAACTGTAACCTCATATAGAGATGTGTGAGCTATTAATAAAGCCTTTAAAAATATACTAATGAAACAACTACTTACATAGTAAAGTGTTGCCGATCCTCCCTTAATAGCCTTTTTCTTTTTTTAAACTAAGGCCAAGATGAAGCAATTAACTTTTTATTTGGTGACCCTGAAAGAAGTATTAAAAAATGCCATCCAGCAACTACTACGAATGTGCAAAAAAACACTAACTAAATTCTGAGAATATCCTGCAAGTCAGCCTAATAATTCCAGAAAATTCAACAACTCACCACTCGGTCTGGATATCACTACATATGATTAAATGATCCCTGTCAACCCCAGTGAATTTCTGAAAATGTCCTGTTATGGTTTGTCAGCCAACACTCTCTAAGGGCGGTTAGAGTGTGGGTCAGTCTCAGAGGTGGCTGTGGGGTTGGGGAAATAGGGGATTAAAGAGAAGAGATGACCCCAAACAGAGATGAAGTATATACCAGGATGAGGAACTCAGAACCTTCGCAAAGAAACATATAATTAAAGCAAATTAATATCCTGCAAACTGAGTTTGAATGTTCACACTTTAAGAAACTCCAACATGCTTCCAAGAACTACAAGTGAATACATCTGGGTCATAGAATTGTAGGTTAAATAAATATCAGTTTAAGAAGCAATATAGTAAAATCTCAGCTGGCACCCTCATGGAAATAAGTCATGAGAGTCAAGTCTTCTAAAAGTTTGTGGTTAATATGGTCCACTTAAAACAAAAGCCTGAAGATTTTGAATTTTAAAATTCTTAAATTATAACACATGTTCTTGCATTCTTAAACAAAATATACTGAAAAAAATCTTCACCTACTGCCCAGAAAACAGGAAGAGAAATCTTGGCATACAGAAACTCTTATCTAGAAAAGACATTACATGGTAACCATTTAGTCACACAGGGCTTACCACACTTTCCTTTAAAGTAAGCTCCTCTGGGAAATTAAAAATCAAACATTTAGGTAAATATTTAAATACCAGCTATTGTGTAAAGTAAGATTTGTGTGTGAGCGCTCACACAAGCATCTAAAGGTCCTTGAGGAAGTTCTGCTCCTCTGTGGAACACCTGGAGAACTCATTTGTCCAAAAGGAACACCCAAAAGGACTATTCTTATCACATACATCAACCTCACGGATGAGTGATGCTACTGCTGACCAAGCTTAGGATCGAATGAGACTCAGATGGAACAATCAGAACACCATTCTCCCCATACCTCCTAAAGGGACATCTTGGAGCTGAGTCTTATCCTTCCTCCACTCAGAGACAACATCCAAGAGAGCATTAAAATGAAAATCCATGCGCTTGTCAATAGTGGGGTCAGTAATTCTTCCACCTTCCTGAATTAAGTCACATCTTTCTCCAAATTTATGCATGCTGATGCCAAGCTTCAAAATAATAAGAATAAGAAGGTGAAAATTTTCCCTGGAAAAAATATGTACAGGTTCTATGCTGAAATTAGACACAGCTCTCATGGAGAAAATGGTCTAGTACCTTCCAAAAATAAAGCTAGCTATGCTTAACAGAAAATGGCAGCAAAGGCAGGCAGTGAAAAAATAGCATGAAATCTGAGACCTTATTTTATGAGACTGTGAAGATGACAGCAACAGCTTCTATACCATGCACTCTATAGCCTCTCAGCCCACATTTATTAATGCCGCAGGTGCTGTAGCTGTGTGCCTCTCCTGCCCTGACATTCTATTTCCTCTGTGGACTCTCATGAAAATGAGCACACCAACACACAAACACTCACAGAAGTTGAAATAGAATTTACTGTCAATGCATATTTCAGAAAAAAACTTGGGGCCTACCAGGTCTGCAAAGACACTTATGCAGGATTGCCCAATAAAAGACAGAGCACCCAGTTAAATTTGACTCTCAGATAAATGAGTAAATTTTTCTTAACTCTAAGTATATCCCAAATATAGCACGCAAAACATCTCATGTAATATCTGGGTCATACTTATACTAAAAAATTACTTGCTGTCTATCTGAAAGTCAAAGGCATTCTGTATCTCTATTTGCTTCATATGGCAACTCTAAAACTATGAACTAGTCGAGTGGCCTGCAAATAACACAAATATAGTTAAAGATCTTAGAAAAAGAAAAAAATATTATAAGAATTCTAGTTCCACTTTCTTAGAAAAGAAGAACTGTAATTGTCCTCACTTTGCAAAGAAGATGAGGAGGCAAGAGATCATTCTGGGATTGTTAAATATTATCTAGAGGCACATTAATAGTACACATAAGCAAAATGAGACAATTTTTTCTTCATCTACAATACAAATCTTAAAGAAACCCACTTGTTCACACATAAGCGCTATTGGGTTGTTAACACAGCCATTGACAATCTGGGCACCTCTTCCCACCGTGAGGCCTTTAAAAGACCGATCATCCCACACTCGGCCTCCAATTCTGTCTTTGGCTTCCAGGACAGTCACCTAAAAAGACAGACAATCAGGGAAGCTATGTAGGAAAGAACAGTCATATCAAATGCAGGTACTATAATTGTAGAATGACACAGTTAAAGAAGTTCAACATTTGGTTAATGTATTTATTGTATTACTAGAGAAACGACTTTGAAGAGGGCAATGTGGACAGAAGCCAAAGTAGATGTTAAACAGTCCAGATTCTAACAAGAAGTAAATGAATGGTCTGCTGGTGAAATCCTCAACCTCATAATGATGAAATTTGATGAACTAGCACATAAAATGCACTCTGACAGCTTCTACTAAATAGTGTTCCATAAATTAAAAAACACTATCAAAAACTCGGTTAAAGAGATTTTTGTCCTATGAAATATCTAAATATGCAGCAAATTCCTTTAACGTTGCAAATAGGCCTTAACTTCCCTAAGATAGAACTATCAGTTAAAAAAAAAAAATCTCATGTCCTATATATAGGACCTCGTGGGCTTGGCCTAAGCAGGTTGGTCCCACCCTGAGGCTATTTTCTCCTCCAAATTTCGAATGCATTTGCCAGCCCTGTGACTCAAAGTGCTATGCTTCCCTGGGCTGCAGTAACTGAAAACTTGAGTCCTATTCAGTGTAGGGCCAGTCATTTCCTCTCTGGGTCCCTATAAGCACTCCTTCGAATTGCTCAAGGAGGTTCCCTGCGTGGGCCATCTCTCAGGTTACTCAGAGGAACCGATTCCCTAACCATCGGTGGTCTCCATAGGCTCTCCTTCATCACCTGGTGAAAGAAAGGGAAGAGTAACAAGGGCCCTCTGAATAGTCTTCTTTGGACCTAAATTTCTCATTTTCTCCAACTAAAAAGGCTACAACCTGTGGTTCTGCCCTCCTTCTCTGACTCCAGATTAACACAGAACCACCCGTCTCTAGTTTCCTGTTAGTGTGAGAGGAAGGCTGAACCTTAAGGATAAGCCCCTAGACTCTGGATATTAGCAGCTTCCCCTATAACATAACCTGTGGGTTTCCCAAGTGAAAAACAAACAAGAAACCGTGGCCCCAAAACCCAAAACCCAACACTGAAATAAATGATTAAAACACCTCATAGCTTAATACCACTAGGAAAACATTTGCAAATGCAAACATACTTCCTGTAAATCCAACTGAGATTCTTCTGCTTTGTCAGCAACATAATGTAATTTAAGAAAGGCCCTCCATTCAATCAAGAGGAAAACCTCCCTAAGTCATAGCTACTGAAAACTTTTCTCATCTCTGAAACACCTCCAAGCAGAGAAGATATTGGGAAAATGTTAAAAAAGAACTCTTCTTTTAGCCAGGTAGAGGAGAGTAAAAAGACTAATTGAATTCTACCAAATTAATTTTCACATTTGATTTAACTGAAAACCGAAGTCTTTGCAAAGTGTTTTTAAAAAGGAGAAATGTGTCAGACTTAGGAAGTCACAGAAATCTAAGGGATGGTTAATTTGAATGAATCTAACAGAAATAAGATACTGAATCACACAAATGGTTTTTCGTAATAGTCTCTAGTGCGCTAATTTTGAACAACTGCAATAAGGCAAGATAGCAGATATATAGAAAAAATATCCTACCTTGGGGAAGCAGGCTACCTCAAATATGTACAGTTTAAGTCATGTAATTCTGTCTCAGCCATGGATTAACTAATTCGATCTTGCTTCCAAGAGCAAAGATTTTTGTTTCCAGGGTAAGATTCAAAGAGTGTCTTTGATTTGCATAAGAAAATTTAACTGGGTGTTTCAGAAACTTAAAAAAAAAAAAACCCCAAAACAGTGAATTTCCAAGCTGCTGTTTTCTCAAACTATTGCAGAAACAAAGGAGATTTCCCAATGACCCCTCTCTATTATGTCAATAACAACCTGTCAAGAATTTCTGCTTTAGTTCCAACTTAAAATCTTTTCTGAATTGCACATTAGAGTCTAAAACTCTTTCTAAAGCTATGGGCATTTCTGTGTTCCTCTACCTTCCTTTTATTAACCCAATTTCAAATTCTGCATCTTTTCTAGGATCAACTGTAAAGATATAAAGATACCAAGTATATAGCATTCTTCGCTAAAATCAGGAACTGTTTTCTAAGTCTTAGAAAATCTGGACCAGAGGAGCAGTTAATCATCTGTTTTCGCCTCCAAGTGCCAAAAAATCTTACCTTAATTCCAAAGTTATGTAGTTGCCTAGCAGCTGCTAATCCTGCTGGACCAGCCCCGATAATGATGACTGATTTCTTAAAAAAAAAAAAAGAGCAAAAATCTAATTAGAGCAACAAAAACAATGTTCTGTTTTAGTTGTTCTGGAAGGCACGAACTACGAAGCAAAGTTAGTTCATCTACATTTCTTTGATATCCCTGAAAAAGTTATTTTCCTAAAGAATATGGTAGTACTTTTCTTAAGTAATCCCTTCCTCTTTTCTACTGTCCAAGGAAACAGTGCTTCATAGTCTCCTTTCCAGGGAAACACATTCTAAAAAGCTTTGCTTTATAACTTTTATGGTGATAACGCGACATTTACTAGTGTTATAAACAACGGTATACCGGCCTTTATCACGACTAGTGGCGGTATTATCGCTGGAGCGTTACCTACGTTGTGGTAATCTTTAGGAAGAAGATGCTGGTCAGCGCCGACACTGAGAACACCCGTGTTGATGAGACCTTTTCTCGTCATAAAATAAAGGATCCTTTCCACTTCCTGAACACATCGAATGCGCACAAGGCCCCGCACAATGATGTGGGGAATACACTTACGAGGAGTAAGAGCTTCCTGTGTTTGGAAATAAAACCAAACTGTTAAAACAAACAAATAGAAAGTAACTCTTGGTTCCTCAAAAAGTTAAACAGAGAATTACCATATAACCCAGCAATTTCGCTTCTAGGTACAAACCCAAAAGAATTGAAAACAATCGTTTAAACAAAATGTTCACAGCCGCATTATTCAAATAGCCAAAAGGTGGAAATTATCCAATGTTCATCAATGGATAAATGGATAAACATAATGTAGTCTACTCACATATGTAATATTATTCAGCCATTAAAAGTAATGAAGTACTGATCAATGCTACAACATGGATTAACCTTGAAAACGTTATACTAAGTGAAGAAGCTCATTACAGAAGGCCTCACATTATATGATCTCATTTATTTGAAATGCTCAAAATGGGCAAATCTATAAAGACGGAAAGTAGAGTAGTGGCTGCTCAGTGGGGAAGGGAGGAATGGGGAGTTACTGCTCAATGGGTGTAGAGTTTCCCCTGGGGTAATGAAAAATTTCTAGAAACAGTGGTGATAGCTAAACAGTACTTAATGCCCCTGAACTGTACATTTTAGAATAGTTAAAATGGTAAATTTTGTGTTGTATTTTATCATAATAAAAAGAAACTCTCAGGGTCATTCAAATCTATCACTTATCATTAAGATTATAGTAGGATCAAAAGGAGGTTCGCCTGGTAAAGGGAAACAAGAAGAAAGGGACAAAAGGCAGATACAGCGACTTGTATCTTACAAGTTTCTCCTTGCTGAGAATGACCGCCACAGGGAGTGTGGGAGCAGACGACAACACAAATATATTCCTGACTCAATAAACCACAGAACAAAGGCCACTGCAGAAACCCAGGCTGCTCTGTATACTGGTAGCAGGAAAAGCTGGATTCTCATTAATGGTAAGAGACAGGGGGACCGATTTAGGAACTTGAATAAAAAAAAAGACAACACTGCCTTTCTCTGCTCAGTCCAGCTTTGGCAAGGCATTGGTCTATTTCAAAGATTCAAGAGTAATACGGCGTTGGCCTGTCATGAAGTTAGAATAGGCATGGGAAGTATAAGGGGGTCTACTTGTCAACAACTCCCAGAGCTCCACCAGAACCCATTCAAACACAGGAAGATGAATATATACCCTAAGTATTCCAGAAATAACACATACAATATTCAATATTGATTTGCATTGCTCCAGAAAATAAAAAAGTTTGTTATTTATGAAATTAAAAAAAAATCATTTCAAAGTCTTTGATTCTTTTAAAGCAAACATCTGTGTTTCTCTATTAGAGTATTTAATATATATAATACACACTCTCTTATTAAAATTTAAAATGGATCTAGACTGACAAGTTCAGGATTTTTTTTCTGTAAGATTCTTCCCCTGTATAAGTCAAATTTCAAAGTCAAATAGAAAAAAATGTGAAGAAAAAAATGAATCTAAGGCTGTTTCTGAAAAGT